TACAAATCACTTGGCCAAAATCATTTGCAAAATCTCTAAAGAGTTCATCAAAGATCATGAAAGTGTAATATCCACTCTTCAAGAGAGTCATTCTGTATTACTTAATAGATCATTGGATCTGTAAAGGAGAAAGGGTTTTTCTCCTTGTTGGTGTTTGAATCTCAACACAAGGAAAGGGAGTTCCGAGGTGTTGGAGGATTCATTTTCTTGTAAGGTTTACAAGAGTAGTGGAATTCTCAAGTGGGAGACTTGAGGACTGGATGTAGGCAGGATTGGCCGAACCAGTATAAAATCAAGTTTGCAATTCTTCTTCCCTACACTTTTATTTATTTGTTATTTAATTGTGTTTGAGTTGTTCTTCATCATCATTCTTTACATGCAAATTTGTCTAAGGAAATAAAGTGATAAGAAAGTAATTGGAAAAGTTTTTATAAGAGGAAAATTTAGAAAACTTAATTCACTCCCCTCTTAAGTTATACGAGGCTAAGGGACTAACAAGTACCAATCATTTCAATGTTTCAAAATTTGTATTGTCATTTTCAATTTGGTACTTGAACCAATTTGAGAATGTTCAGTTATATGTTTGTTCATTAGCCATTTCTTAAGCATTTTAGGATGTTTTTTTTCGCCATGTCCCTGTGAGTAATTATGTAAGGTACATTTTCATCGATGTTATTCAATTTATAAAAACGTGTCTACAACACTTCTTCTCATGTGTAAATTACAATGTTTGTACTTCGTAAACCCTTACCAGTAATTCTTCCATGATGAAGGGACTTAGGTAGCCCCACAAATTCAACTTCTGATAAGTATTTTGTACAAAACTCAATAGTTTCCTCTGCAATTTATCTTTGAAAAATTGATGTTTTTGGATAGTGTTGGTTCTTCACCTACCCTTTTAATATCTTTATATATCGTTTAATTGGATATATCCACTGTAAAATTACTAGACCACAAAATCTAACACCGTAAGAACAGTTCAGAAGATTTTGGCAACATTTTGCATTGGTCTCTAAATACACAAAATGAAAGTAGTGACATCAATTTCATCATAGTCAAGTATGTACCTAGAGAACACACACACACACACACACACACACACACACACACACACACACACACACACACACACACACACACACACACACACACACACACACACACACACACACACACACACACACACACACACACACACACACACACACACACACACACACACACACACACACACACACACACACACACACACACACACACACACACACACACACACACACACACACACACACACACACACACACACACACACACACACACACACACACAC